TTTGCTGCTCTCTTTTTTTCTTTCTGTCTTATATAGTATTTATATGTGTGCATTTAGGATTGGTCTAAAAGAAATTTTATAATACTTAAAGAGTAACTAGTTGGTTTCTCTTTTTAAATTTTTTTTCTATTTTGAATATTTTAGTTTTGTTTTTTTTTCTCTCTGTTTTTTTTTTTTTCAGTAGGCTTGAACAACCAGATCTGGTGGGCTGGACCATTTCAAGCCCATGTTTTTTTTTCCTTTTTTTGATTTTTTGATTTTACTTTTTTTTTTTTTTTTGTGGGGGCAAAAATAAAATGATGAAATAACTATCAAAATTTCACTAGATTCCAATATTTAATTAACAGCCGAAGAGATTGATATTTGAACCTAAACCACAAGAGTTAGTGGGTAGATCAGCACTTCTATTTACATTATATTATACCAAAGGACAAGTTTAGTATACAAATTTTCAAACGATTCCAAAACAATCTTTCAAAGAAAATGATTAGGTCCACCTGAATGTGTTTTGGGCCTAATGCTATAATGCTACATCATCAACAAAGGTGAGAACAAAGAATTTGACATGTGTACGTGTTTATTGTAGCATAAGCAGACCAAGCTTAACTAATACGTGACAGACCGTTTCCTGGAACAGGTGGGTTGTCTTCATGGCAATTTTCATGTGACAGAGTAGTCATGGCAGGTGCATATATAATGGAACCATGTTTAACCATCTTGAGTTTACCCTTTCCATTCAACCACTCATTTTGGCCAATTGTGATGGGAAGGACCTACCCAATGCCTAAAGTTTGGTTCGTGCTCTAATCCATCGAGTAGCAGAGGGGATCTACTCGCTGGTGGCAAGCATTGGATCATAATCAATACAGGTGAGAACGAAGAATTTGGCCGGCTTTCGTAGCAAATTGAGGGGGGTGGGGTGGTGTGGAATTTCTACAAGACCAATTGCTTGCTTTGGATAGCCACACCGAGTTTCTTTTCTTGATATATTTTCTTATTTAAAAATGGCATCCTTTATTATTTTAAAAAAACTCAGTTTGTGTGTTTAATTTTTTTCCAGCCTAATCACTATCTTTTTTATTTGAATGTATAAATTTTGATTATTTTTTTTCTATTTGAATATCCAAAACCACTTGAGATTACAAAATATTAACATATTCGGAATAAATTATCACTTAATAGTTTTCAACTTACTCATTAAAAAAAGTAGTTCCTATTTGAAGTATTAAAAAATGCAATTTGATTGCCTAATCTTATATAACTTTTTTAAGTTCCCAAAGTTTCTTTTTTTCCTCGTTTAAATTGTCTCAATCACTCGAGATTTAAAAAATACTAATATGATTGAAATCTACTAACACGAGACAATTTCTAACTAACACGTGGTAAAAAAGAAACTCACTCATATATATATAACAAAATAATTTGTAAGAATTATAAAGAAAAAAATAAAAAATAATTACTATTAGCTGAATAAAATTGAATTTATTTAGATGATTCAAATTTAAAACTCTTAAATTAGGCAAAAGAAATATTTAGATGATGATATCTTGGAATGTTTTAAAAAATTGTTTAGCAAGCTTGTGGGGTTCATTAGCTAATGGTAATTTATTTTGATTTTTCTAATTATTACTAATTATTCTTTTATAAAAAAATTATTTTTATTTTTTTCAATAAATCTGAATATGATGTATTTTTTGCATGAATTAAAGACTATCATGTGTAAGTAGATCCCCACCACGTTTAGCAAGCTTGTGGGGTTCATTAGCTAATAGTAATTTATTTTGATTTTTTTAATTATTACTAATTATTCTTTTATAAAAAAATTATTTTTATTTTTTCTCAATAAATCGAATATGATGTATTTTTTACACGAGTTAAAGACTATCGTGTGTAAGTAGATTCTCACCACGTTAGTATTTTTCAATCTTAGATGACCGAGACAATTCAAATAGTACAAAAAAAAAAAAATCAAACGTTGAGCACTTAAATAGAAAAAATAATAAAATGTTATGCATTCAAATTGCAATTTCTCTTAAAAAAATCATTTTTTTTTAATAATCCAAGTGGAACTCATTTTTTTATCACACGTTAGTTAAAAACTCGTCATATGACAATTCATCCTAGATGCATCAGTATTTTCTAGTCTCAAATAATTGTGGACATTCAAACAGAAAAAGAAAAAAAAATCAAAGTTTAGACACTAAAATAGAAGAATTTAACAATTGCACACTCAAGCAAAAAAATAAAATCAAAAGTTAGGCACTCAAATTGCAATTTTCTCTTACTAGTTATAACCAACAAATTGTTATAAAAAATAATTTAAAATAATAATATTATTATTATTATTTAATTTAGAGATAAAACGATTTTGAGCATCTTAACGTTTATGATTTTCAAATTAAATGTCTGATTTTTAACTTTATTTAAATAAGTGTCTAATCTTTTTATTTTATACAATAAAGTGGTTAAATAGATGTTTGCTAATCAAATGTTACATTATATATGTGAACATACATGCATATGCTTATATATATATATATATATATATATATATATATATATATATATATATATATATATATATATATATATATATATATGTATATACTTAATAATTATTTTAAAAAAATTTCAGCGAGGTTTGGAAGGAATTTTCTCTCTCATTTACTTGTTGAATGACATCTTGTTAATGACGTTAGTTTTAAATGTTATTTTAGCTATCAATGTCCATATCATCATTTAACAAAAAATCAATATTTGACTAACACATCTATGCTTAAATACTTTATTGTGTGAAATAAAAAGATTGGAGACATATTTAAATAAAATTAAAAATCAAACACTCAATTGTAAGAATCAAGTAAATTCAATCACTCATAATCTTGTTATCCCTATAATTTATTATTTTATTGTTGTAATTATTAGTAACTCGTGCATATTTAGTAGACAATCAAGGTTTCTTGTAAATATGAGTAATTAAAGTATATTATTGTAACATATATCTTTTGTGCGGTGTGTATAACCAAACGACTATAGCATAATATATATATATATATTACTTATTATTTGTGATAATAATACAAGACGTTTTAAGAGTAATATATTACACTTACTTTACCATTGCTATTTTATTATATGTATTTTGAGAGAGAAACGAATTGTTGTGGTTCAAAACATTCTCTTACAAAAGAGACGTTTTCTCTATCTAAAGACTTCATTTTGGCATGCCTCTATCTATAAACTTCTCTAAACCCTTATATGTATAATAATAATTATTTTTTTATTATGTGTCATGTTATTTATTGAATAAGTTGGATGCAAAAGAGTTTAGACAGAAACAAGATAAGTGAGATGGGAAGATCAAACATGTTATATGTAAGCGTAGAATTATATTGTACATATACTTAAAGAGTATTTGTAGCTCTTGTACTTGTACTTATGTATGTGTGTGTGTGCGCGCGTGTAATGTGAGAAGGAGCAAACACTAGAAACAAAAATTACCATAAAATAATAACTAAAATTATGATAAAATTGAAGTTGGAACAAGATAATACCATTTAGAAAAAATAGAAAAAAAAAAAAACTCTAAGTATCCGAATAGTTGATAAAATAGCAAAAAACTACTATAAAAGTAATCCTCACAATGTATTTGTTATCACTCAATTTTGGTCCTTTTTTTATTTTTACACATTTTTTTCCTAAAAAGTGAAAAAAAAATGAAAACTAAATGTGCTTTGCTTAATTTGTTTGGTCGTGCAATTTTTATCGTAAGGTTAGAATTTTTTAGGAATCGTATAATTTTTAAGAGTTGAGAAAAATTAACAAAAAAAGAATAAAAAGAAAAGAGAGAAAATAAGTTAGGAATTGAGAATTTTGAGAGTCCGATAAAAAATACGTGATAAATTAGAATTAAAAAAATAATAAATTTGGAGTTCAATTAAAAAGCTTACCAATTGAAAACGCAAAGAAAGAAAGAAGGAAGGGATAAGGTTCAAATATAAGAAAATGAGAAAAAGATAGGGCTAATGTAGAAATACACAAAACTCTAACTAATTCTACTATGTACACCTCTCTTCATCTCTCAAGAGGATGGTGACCATTTTATTCATCTTTAAAAAAAAAAAAAAAAAACTAGAGCGAGAAGGAAACTCTCTCCAAACTCTCTCAAAATCTACCACCATCAAAGTCCCAAAACTCCATAGCCACCATCTTTAAAACCTTTTCTTTCTTATGCTTGCCACTCTCCTCCAACACAACCCCAACTTCGGCCAAAAATCAAGAAGAAAAGCAAGAAAAATCGTCGGATTTCTCCTCCCAAAACCTATCATTGCTGCTGCCATTTTTCAATAGTAATGCTACGAGTTTCTACCCCGGATCAATTCATAAGAACCTCCTAAAAGACCTTTAAAAACCTCCCTCAAACCCTTCTTGAAACCCCCTTAAACCCATCATGGAAACCTTCAAAACTATTATGAGACCTCCTAAAAAGACTTCCTAAATCGTTGTGACAACAACTCCTTAATAGTGTCATTGTAGTCTTTATTCTACCCTAAAATGACCAGCCACAACTCCTCTCTCTAAAAAGAGTGTTCAATAGTCGTTTGGATTCCATCTAATAGTATTTTTCAACAACAAAACTCACTAAAATTGGATAAAAAATCACCTCAAACCAAACCCTTATTTCCACTACTAGTAGATTGACCTTCAAATGAAGATCTAGAAACTTCACTTTCTTAGTGGTATAGAACAAAGGGAAAGATCTCTTAGAGTTTGAATTAGACATATTAAGCTTTTTAAATTGAGCCAAAATGCAAAAATTGATTTGATTTTGGCTATCAAAGTCGAGTGCAAAGTTGGGTTAGAAATTTGGATCCCATGACAATTGGAACATTACCTAATGTTTAGCACATATCCGAAGTTACATGTATTGGATTGTAATGGTTTCGGATATCTAAAAAAAAAAGACATCCAAACCTACAATATCTATAAGAGATTAATACCAAAATAATCTTCATCTTCTCCTAAATCGATCCGGAAGATAGTGCCATAGATAGTAGTGCCGGACAACCATATCCCGAGGCGGTAACTTTTTCCAGCCACGGATAACGGATCCTTTATGATAGTTTACCTTTCAAGAGTCATGGATAGAATCTCCTTAACTTTTCAACCTAAAAAAGATAGCCTCATAAAAATCCTTTTTTCATCTAAATTTCTTTCTTCGATTGAAAATACAAATTGTATCCATCAAAGATTGAAGAAAATGGTCGAGGAAAATGAAGGACCAAATCCATTGTTGATCTAAAAGGTGCTTTTGACATATTTTAGGAAACTCCTTGGTTGTTTTGACCAACAAGGTAAGCTCTCGACACTTGTTTTCTCGCATTTATATTCTTACTAAATTCAAATATATTTGGATTGAAATTGTGAATGGATGCGATATTATGATATATTTTATATTTTATGTGTATTTAGATACACCATCGTGTATCGAATCCAAAAGGATTGAAGAATTTGAGTATATTGAGGAGTGATAAAGGAGTGATAAGGTTGATGCACAATGCTCTACGATGGAATTAGGAGGATGAGTTTGAATTTTAATGCCAATGGTTTATCTAGGATGGGTGTCAATCCTGGAGTGTGTACTTATGAATGATCTTGTTATTTATGATGTGGTTTGATTTAAATGTGATGTTTATATCATATTTGTTATTCATGTCATGCTAGTGCTGTCCTAAATGATATGATCCGAAGTTGATGGTGACTTCCTACATGTGCGGACAAAGTCGTCTTAGACTTCCTAAATGATGTGATTCGAAGTCAATGGTGACTTTTCACTTGTGTAGATGAAGTCGTCGGAGACTTTTCAAATAATGTGATTTGAAATCAATGGTGACTTTTCATTTATGTAGAAAAAGTATCTAGAGACTTTCTAAATGATATCATTTAAAGTCACGATGATGTCTTTTCACTTATATTGACAAAGTCATCGAAGACTTCCTAAATAATGTAATCCAAAATCGATAGTAACTTTACACTTGTATGGATGAAGTCATCGGACACTTTCGATATGATGTGATCTAAAATCAACGGTGACTTTCCACTTATGTGGACGAAGTTGCTAGAGACTTCCTAAATAATGTGATTCAAAGTTGACGATAACTTTCCACTTGTATGAATGAAGTCCTAGAGATTCCTAAATGATGTGATCTAAATTTGATGGTGACTTCTTACTCGTGTGGACGAAGTCACTAAAGACTTCTTAAATGATCCGATTTAAAGTTGATGGTGATTTTTCACTTATGTGGACGAAATCATGAGAGACTTTCTAAATGATATAATTTGAAATCGACGGTGACTTTCCTCTTATGTGGACGAAGTCACCAAAGACTTTCTAAATTATATGATCCAAAGTCGATGGTGACTTCTCACTTATGTGAGTGGAGTTATCAAAGACTTTCTAAATGATATGATCCAAATTCAACGGTGACTTCTTATTTATGTGGATGACGTCACCAAAGACTTTCTAAATGTGTGATCCAAAATTGACAATGACTTTCCACTTGTGTGGATGAAGTTGTTAGAGACTTCATAAACGATGTGATTTAAAGTCGACAATGACTTATTAAAAGATGTGATTCAAAGTTATCGGTAACTTTTATTTATATGGACGAAGTCGTCAAAGACTTCTTTATGATGTGACTTGAAGTTGATAACAATTTCTTAATTTTGTGAAAATAAACTTATCGGTGGCTTTCTATTTTTATGAACTGAAGTTATTGGTGGCATCCTATTTGTGTGAATGAAATTATCAATGGCTTCCTAAATTCATAAATCAAAGTTGCTTGTGAATATTTATTTATATGGATGAAGTTGTAAGCGACTTCTTGTTTATGTCAATACGGGCTCTCAATCCCTAAAGACTTATCTATTTCTTAATACAGGTTTACAATCACCGGAGGTCGGTTAAAGTTTCAACTTCTATTCCTATTTTCTCTTTAGAATATGGGTATAGGCTATTGATCAACCTAAATTTCAAATTACTTAATCAATTTATCTTAATAAAATACATTCACTCAAGTAGACATAAAATCATAATATGGTAAAACCAAACCTTAGTTTTCACATGCATACAATGCAACCTAACTCAAGTAGGACTAAATGATGGTAATGTTAATCTTTTTCATACGTAACCAACCTCTTACCTAGATATTTATGAAGATTAGTTTTTTAAGGTTTTCTAGTTCTCTCGATTACTAGATGGCAACTTAGCCAGTGCCTCGGGCTCTCATCAATAGTATTTATATTAGTTTAAGCCTTATTCTTGTAAGAAAATGATTCATGATCTTTGTCCCCGAATAAAACTACTTAGTCTATAAAGAAAATAACCCTAGATTACTTAACTAACCCTAATATTAGAAATATAATAATATAAATCTTAGATAAAGCTCTTGCACCATTCTCCTTAGTTAGAAGAAACTCGTTTTTGAGTTGAACCATTCTTTTGTTGATCTTGTAGATGTCCAATCAAGACTTTCTAGTCCTTTATCTTTTATATATATATATATATATATACTTTTAAGTGTATAACAATTTTATATACCAACATCAATTCCTCCATGTTAATTTTTATATAAAAATATTAAATGATAACTCATTTATCTTTTGTTAACTTTTAGAGTAATGAATTACAAGTCTTGATTTTTTTTTTTGTCAACATATATTGTATCAATATAATCCTTCAAAAAATTCTACCTTTATGATAATAGAAAACATGTAATCAAAAGGACCAATGTAGCCTAAATCAATAAATTCCTTTTGTTGATAACTCTCATAATCTCTTTGCACTCAACTTTTATCCTTTCAATGAGGTCGTCATTTATGACAACTTTATTGTCATCATTATCAATGTTAATGACTTTAGTATCATCATAATAAATATCATAGATTGGTAAAAAATCCCAATCCACATCCATTTTATTATAGATGGATAAAGAATTTCAACTCATAACTACTTTTTTCTCTATAAATAAAGTGTTGTGTGCTTATTACTCATTAACCATCTTTCTCTAATGAAGTGCAATGTTGTTTCCTCTCCTTCAATCTACCTCACACTCGTGTGATTATGGCTCCAATATCACAAAAAGAGTTTTCATCCTTATGACAATCTTCCGGTATGTTTAAAGAATCTTAGTCACCTTTCAAAATTTCCATTTAGGCTACTTTTATTTTTTTGATACAATCAATAGTATAATAAATGTTTAATTATACAACTTATCTCGACCAAAATTGTTTGTCGATTTTGATTTCTCCATCTACAACCTCTAACACATTTAATCATGATCAAAAGATTGAATTCTAACACAATCTTGAGGATCTTTTCGCTCCAACACCAATTTAATGTAGTGTGGAAAGGAAAAAGCACTAGAAATAGCAACCACAACAAAATAATAACAAAAAATAAGATAAAATTGAAGTTAGAACAAGATAATAAAATTTAGGATTCATAAAAAAAAATACTTTTGGAATATGAATAGATTGATAAAATAACAAAAAAAATTACTATAAAAGTAACACCGAGTGGCCTATTTATATTAGTTTAAATCCATATTTTGTAGGAAAAGGATTTCAAGGCTTAGTCCCTAATAAAAATACTTAACTCTGTAAAGAAAATACTTTAAAAAGTCACATGATAATCACATTATCCTAGATTAATTAAGTAACCCTAATATCATAGATATAATAAAATAAATAATTAGTGCCTTCATCTCCCAAGCAAAATTTACTTGGATGTGAATATGTTTATTACGTTAAATAGCATGTTAACGTCTCTGTTGCTCACTATAAACTCCATCTTATAACTCAAGGTTTTAAATAACAAGAATGGATAGAGAAAACCTTTAGTCTAGTGGTGAACCACCCACTATTCATTCAATTTAAGCTTGTTATTACATTATCTTAGCCTATCAAGCAACTTGATATTGAGAATTCTTTTCTACGGGGTCATCTTATTGATAATATATACACGAAACTACCTTCTAGTTTTATGAATAAAAATTTCTTAATTATATGTACAAATTGCAAAGATCCTTTTATGGTCTCAAGAATGGTTTCATTGTTTTAGCACCTATTTGCTTCATCTTGGTTTTTAGTCTAGTAAAGTAAATACATCCATATTTTTTTATAATGTTTGTGATGTTCATATGGTGTTTTTATTGTATGTTAATGATATTATCTTTAATGGAACATTTTTTTACAAAAAAAAAAAATATTGTTCTTGATAAGTCATAGGCTGAATCTCAATGACTACTTAGGTGAGCTACATAATATCTTAGGTGTTGAAGCTATGACCATCCGAATTAGGCTTTATTTTATGCATCGAAGTATATTTTCTATCTTCTATCTCGCTCTAATCTCACTTCAAGCAAGTCTTTTAGGACACTTTCAACTCCAAGAACTAAATTAGGTTTATTGATGATGCATTACTTGATAATCCTTCCTTTTATCGGAGTATTGTGTGTGGCCTACAATATTTATCTTTTACAAGGCCTAATAATGCTTATTTCATTGGTTTTGTTTCACGAGTATATACGTGCTCCTCGTGTCCATATTTTTGGCTATAAAGCACATTCTATGCTACTTACAAAACAATCTTAATCATGGTCTTTTTTTTTTTACAAGCATAATTTTTTAGATTTGATTTCTTTTTTCGATGTTGATTAGGCTACATATGCATATACTAGACATTCGATTATAGGATATTGTTATTTATAGGTTCTCATCATTTCTCATAGACTTCGAAAAGCAAGTCACTATATCTCATTCTAGAACTTAAGTAGAGTATTGTTTCTTGGCTACCATTACTACTATGTTATTTGAATGTGTCAACTTTTTGATGGTTTGCGTATTTCTCTTTCTCACCCTATAGTTATTTATTATGACAATATAAGCCTTACTTACATCATTGTTAACCTAGTGCAAGATACCAAACATATTGAGATTGATATTCATTTTGTACATGATTTTGTTGCTTCTAACCAACTTAAGGTCCGTTATGCTCCAATTGAAAAACAAATAATTGATGTCTTTACCAAAAGTTTAACTCGCTCTTAAGTTTTCTATCTTTCAAACCAATCTTACCATTTGTTCTCTCCAAACTGATGTTGAAAGGGAAGCATAAGCATATAGTTATATTGTATATATACTTAAAGGTATATTTGTAACTCTTATACTCGTGCGTGTGCATATATACATATATATAGACACACTTAATGAAAATCCTATAAGGTCCTTCCGCTTCTTCAAATTCTATCTATATTTTCTTGAATTAATCCGAAAAATCAATAGGTCAATTTTCCTTTTTTATATATATAAATTAATCTTATTATTTCTCACTTCTACAATTTAACATAATAGTATATTTGGGAGCTTTTGGGAGAGTGAAATGGAGAAAACACATAGAAAGAGAAAGGAGAGTGATGGAAGAAAAGGAAACAAATAGTGTTTTCATTATTTCTAGAAAAAAAGTAAAAGATTTTTTTTTAATGTTTAAATATTTTTTTTTGTTAATTACAAATGAGATATTCAAACTCTAGATTTTTCAATCGAAAAAAAGTACACTTGATCTACAATTTATTGGCATGTAAAAAAAGTGTTTTTTATTGTTGGATTTAATTGTTTTATATTGTAATACATATATATAAAAGAAAGACTAAATAAAAATTGAGTTTCATTTTAATAATTATATATTGAGAATTGAATTTCATCCAAAAGGCATATTTGTTTGAACTAAAGGCTAAGAACTCAAACCGCATGTTTAAACTACAAATTGAGAGTTTAACTGCATATTCAAATTGCAAGTTGGTTTTGACAATTATATATAAAGGGACATAACTATTCGTAAATACATTAAATATTTTGGGCAAATAACCATGTTTGTAGTAGTTACGGCTCTTTGTACACTATAAATTAAAATGTTAGAAATGCTAGTAAATGTATATAATTACCATCTTCTTCTTCCTTTCAAAAAAAAAATATATATTTTTCTTAGTAAGTTCTAATAGAAAAATAAAAAATTGTCATCCTAGATTTTTTTGTGGCTTTGCTTAGTATTGGAATTGTAATTGTTTTTTAACCTTATAACTAACAGCATTTACAGTGAGGGGAAATATCATTTTAACGATAAAAAAAAGATTTATTTCTTAATTCAAAATCATTTATTTATCTTCAAATCCCTGTTCACCAACCATTATTATTAGGTTATCTTTATGTTAAATCTTTTAAACAATCACTAATAGGCATATAATTTATACATTGCATACAAATTCATCGTGCACTCGATTCTACTCTTATCATGATCATATTTAAGGAAAATTTGTCTTTTGAAAAAACTCAACTAGGTTAATTGTTAAATTATCATTTTCACCAACTCAATGTCACCAATGGATGAAGGGTCCCTTTCGTTAGTTGATTTAAGTCCGATTTCGTATGCCTGTTCTTCAACGTAGAAAATTTTCAGTAAAATGATATTATTTCATCAACATCGAAATAAATCATTACAATATATATAAATGGTACAGATATTATTATTATTATTATGTGTGTTTGTTATTTCTTTTTTATAAAAATCTATAGAAATTAATAAAAAATAAAAACCACAAAACATGGAAGTACTTTTTTTTTTTTTAACGTAAAATGTCAAAAACCAAAGATGCGTACGCTTGTAACTTTATATCCAAAAAATAAAACGCGGCTATTCTAAGTTCTAAAATTAATTCTATAATTTAAAGAATTATTCAGTATTTCAAAAATTATATATACGTATTTTTTTATAAAAAATATAAGATCCATAAATTATTTTTATAATGGATCTTATGTTTTTGTAAGGAAGTAAAGTAAAACTCCTGACATACCTAATAATTTATCATATTACTCAACTTATATCAGCGTATATTTTCCTATTGAAGAGAACTTAAGTTCAAACCTCATAAAAAAAAAAAAGCAATCAATTAATAAGTTGTACATGCATTAATGTCTTCTTTTTCTTAAGGAAAAAAATGTAAAATAAATCTGACGTGTCAACCTTTCATTGAAAAACGACAAAAAAAAACAAAAAAACAAAAAACAAACCCCTTTAATTAATGCAACCCTAATCCATCCACCATAAAGGGAAAGGGCAAAAAAATGAAATTTAGAAAAGCGAGTAGAAAGTGAAGGAAAAGGGTGAGAGTAGGGAAAATGGAGAGAGAGAAGTGTGAAGATAGCTTGAATGCGGAAAGAGAAGGAACAGACAAACATCTCTCGTCCTCTTCGAAGCCACCACAACAGTAATGTTTCTTCTCCATAAATCCCCCTCTTTTTTAATAACAATACAAGAAACAAATGGAAACACCAAAACACCTCCATTACACTAACTTGCAGAGTCTCCAATTCTCTCTCTCTCGTTTTCTTTTCTATTCCTTGATTCTCTCTTTCTCAATCTTTGTTGGTAGGGATTTTTTACCTTCTCACCTCATTTATGGTTTTAATTGACTCATATTATTTAGCTAATATTTCTTTGAGATTCTTCCTCTTATCTTTTTGAGAGATTTGTCAAAAAAAAAAAAAAGTAATGCAAGCAACTCAGCCAGTGCTCAACAGTGGAGGTGCTGATGGTTCTCCAGTGGTGGTTGGTCCTCTTTATTAAACCCTCCATCTATTTATCTAGATAATATACACGTGTTGCTCTTTTTTTTTTTTTCCTTTAAAAACAAATGAAGGCAATTGTTCTACTTTATTTTGTTAAATCTTTATGTTATCTTCATGACTGATCTCTCTCTTTTTATGGGGCTGACAAGGTTTTTCTGCTGAAATTTATTTGATTGTTTGTATGATTATTGGTTGGTTTACCTGAGATTTTTTAGGATTGTAAAACGTTATATAGATAGTTCTTTCAGATTTATTTTATAGCTGGATTAGTTAGGCATTATGTATAGAATTACAAACCATTACATTTCCTTAGGGTTTTAGAATATTTTGAACAAGTTGTGGTGTAATTAGTGCAAATTTAGTTAACTCTTCTGGTTTAGCTAACTCCTCTTGGTAGCGGCGGGACTTAAGCCTTGGAGTAAAATTCTTGTTTCTGGGAAATGAGAAAAGCTATTTCAGGTTGTTGTTATTAAGGTTTTGATATGTATAAAGCTTTCGTGTATTTAATGCTATAAGAAGTTGAATAAATCATTTTCTGGTGATACATAGATACATGATAGTATTATTTCATCTGCTATTCTGAATTGTTTTTACTTGCATGATAAAAATATATTACGAGGAAAACATTTGCTTTTTGCTTGTTTGCATTTAAGTGATAGTGCTTCTAGTAGTGACTAATGAGGTTTTAAGATGACTGCTGCCCTTGGAAAAGGTAAAGGTAACCTCCTGAAAGTATGTTAGAGGTATTTCCTGTTTGTAACTTATGGTCCATTGTTTGCATTCTTAATTTTAGATAGTACCGTGAGACCTTTCTTCTTAGCTGGTGTCATAGAATAGTTAAGCTGTTTAGGAACGATCTTGTTATGTTTTAATATCTACTGATAGCTGTTTTTGTCAAAGCACTTCAAAAAATTGAATTACTATCTAATTAAAATTGATTCTGTGCAATTGCTATTTAACTACTTCACGGCTCACAAATTAATACATTTTTTTTTCCCAGTTTATGCCCCTTTATTTGTACGAACAGTTTAATTTTGGAAGGCAACTGATGGAAATCTTTTCCACACCATACTATTCAATTAGATTTTGTTCCTTAAGGTTTTGTTCCATGTAAGAGTCGTGAATTATGCAGATCAGTGAAACCTTACCAATTCAAATAATTAACTTCCTTCACAACTTGGCCCAATTGCAAAGGAAGGTGGGAAATCAAAGGAAATTATAAAAGAAATGCTTAAAGATAGCCTAATCATGAAAGCTGTTTAAATGTTTTCTATTCCTCCCTCATTCCTTTCAAGACTAGATTTAACCTAAAACTCATTCCAAGAAACCCTGATATCTAAGAAGCTGTGAATTTCTCAAGGACCTATGACCAAGTGCTAAGAAAAACTATATGTTTGCATCTGGTCTATCTGGTGTTTGCAAGATTCGCATACCATTGTAATAGATTTGTAATGTATCCTGTTCTGATTTGACATGTTTTCTGGAAGCTCGTAAACCAAACGACTGGGATTTAATATGTCCTACTTGCAGGCTGAACCCAAAAATGTGGAACCCTCAAATGAAGTCTCAAATCCAGGACCAAGTGGAACGCGCTCTGATCTTTCACTTCAAATTCCCCCTAAATCCATAGGTTTTGGCACTAGTCGTAGTGGAAAAGGTTTACTCCATTCTCAGAATTCATACAAAGGCAGTTCACCAGGAGGCATGTTGCGGGCTCTCAGCTTGAAGAAAAAAGCTGCTGCACCTGATGGTGAGAGGAGCTCTCTCCTTAATTCAGACCACAAAACAGCTCCAGATAGTCCTATTATGGCCAGCTTCAAGTCAGCTTTTTCTTGGGAAAGGTGCACTTCTCTCCCTGTCACACCTGCATCAAACTTGTCTCCTGTTTCCATGCCTGCTTCAGCAAGAATGCCTGGTGAATCTCATAAAATAAAAGTAAGCTTTATTTGATTGCCTGGTTTATAAATTATAATCCTTTAGATTTTTTGAGAGATGATCCAAGAAGTAATTATTTGGGCAAGGTAATTGTTGATTCAAGATATATAATTATAATGTTTTGAAAAATGTTAATTATGATCTTCCTTTTTTTCATATGAGACAGAGATTATATGGATTAGTAGCTTAGGGAAATTGCTGAAGAGAATAACTGAATAATTTTTTTGTTCAGAAGGGGGCTGGTCATCCTGTGGTTTCAAAGTCCCTCTCTGTGCCTGGGCGAAATGTTGTTATCGTACGATCTGCATCTTTTGCTACTCACAACGAGCATGTTCTACCAGATCCCAGTAATGGTATATAGTAGCACACATGTTGCTTCCTTATTTATGTTGTTCCTTAGACTCATTTTGCTATCAAGTTCCCTGACTTGCTCCTTCAGCTCATAGAATTAGGAATTGCATACTGTTACTACAAATTTAATGTTGTAGATGGATTAATGTATGAGAATTTTGCCTTTGATGATGTCCTACTTTCAGTTCAATCAAAACAAGCGTGTCATGTATGCAATAGAAATTATTCACAGGAGAATTATGGATTGCATAACCTCAGACTGTGTACTGTCAATCTATTGCTTTGGATTTTATGCAGTGAAGTCAATCATTTACTCAGTTTGCATGCATCCTGTTGAGACCAGCATGATTATTAATTAGGACAACAACAACCAAAAAAAACATTAAAAAAGGTGAAAAATAATCAAGTGATGAATTTGGTCCCAGATTGGTCAACTGTGTAATGATATGGCCTGCAAGAATAAGGTAAGACAAAGATGGGGTCCTCTTTGAAGGGACTCTTCGATGATAAGTTAGTATGTGGGTTTGGTGATGGGAAAAGGAAGTAATGTAACGTGTGCAGACAATTAAAGAAGAGAACAAGTGTCTTAGGTCTATAATGGCAGGGAAAAGAAACTTACCTTCAAGGTGTTGATGGCTTGTATATATCTCTAAAATAGTGGCAGTAGGTGTAAGTCACTTTCCTTTTCCTGGTCTTGAGCTAGCTTATTTACTTGAAATGATAAGAGCAGTTAGAGAGGGCAGGGGGTGGTGTATGGTTGTTCAGTCCAATGAAGAATTCAAGTATTCCAGTATTTTATGTAGGTCCTATAGGGTGCTATTCAAAAATGGTATCTTCGAATCTGTTACTTGGACTCATGGACCCCACGTTCTCAGGTGTTGTTTGGTGCTATGTCATCATATCAGAGTGTAATGCTGTTGAACTCTTTATGCATGTGTTCCTGGCATTGTTGTCCTTCCAACTTATACTTGAGTAACTTTGCTACTTGATAAAGCAGATCAAATAACACCTGTTCCCATGCAAGACGATGATGAAGAAATTCCTGAAGAGGAAGCTGTGTGTAGGATCTGTTTTGATGTATGTGAAGAAGGAAATACGCTCAAAATGGAATGCAGTTGCAAAGGTGCCCTCAGACTTGTACATGAAGACTGTGCAATTAAGTGGTTTAGCACCAAAGGAAACAAGAATTGTGACGTATGTGGGCACGAGGTTATGAATTTGCCTGTGACCTTGCTTCGGGTAACAAGCTCAGCCCAAAGTAATAACAGACAGGAACAGAGTCGTCAGAGATCACAGGAAATAAGGTAATACAAGCTGGTGTCATTGTTATAGAGCTATTTGTCTTGATTTAATATCATAATTCCATGATTAAGGCTTTGCTGAGAGACATCTGGTCTGAGTTTCACTCACAGTAAGTTACTCATGACTTTCCCCTTTTCATCTTCTGCTAATTTTGATTTTTAGTTGTCTTGATGCTTAATGCAGTGTGTGGCAGGACTTTGTTGTGCTTGTCTTAATTAGCACCATATGCTATTTCTTCTTCTTGGAGCAATTATTGGTATGTTGTTTTGCTGTTATAAAAAAATGTAGAATTAAAAATTTTAGATTTTTTTGAAAGCTAGATGTTTATCAAATTCTGATGAGTTCTACTGTACACATACCTGCTTAGGTTTGTTTATTGGGTTTGGGTTTGTTGTGATACTCTGCTGGTCAGAACAAATAAGACTATTGACTAAGGTCCCTTTTATTTGTATGGTCTGAATAAGGCTTGCCTACAGTCAAATGTAAATAAGAGAGCAGAATGGTAATATCGTACGGAACATGTTGAGAAGGCACACAAAGTCACCACTGGAGTTTTTCTTAGTTATTCTTTAATATTTAGTGCAGAAATGCTAATCCTGTGTATTAAAATTTTGCAGATTCATGACATGAAGACTCAAGCAATTATAGTTGCTGCACCATTTGCGTTCACGTTGGGTCTTTTGTCATCTATCTTTGCAGTCATTCTAGGTATATGCTCAGCCTTGGATTTTATATGAAAATTTTGTTCTTAATTGGAGTTTTCATGCTAAATGCTTGCATGACTTGCAGCAATCAGAGAGTATATATGGACATATGCTGCACTTGAGTTTGCATTTGTGGCCATTATTGTCCACCTATTCTACAGTATGGTGAGTAATTTGCTCTCTCCCACGAAATAATTTAACATAATAAATAAAGTGTTGCCTAGTGAATTAAATGTGATACTGTTGACTTGTAAGCTGATTTCATAACTGTAAAGATGCAAAGATAATCATGGTTAAAGGCACAGGTTGTACCGGGTGAATTAAAGAATGCAAACATAGGCATTGCTGGATGAATTAAAGAAGATCACTCTAATCAAGAATTTAAGATAACTACAAGTTGACTTCATTCTTGGACCAAATATTTTCATCAAAAACTTTCATAATTTAGGTTAATGATCTTGTTTGGTTTTCAGGTTATTTTTGTAAGTTTTACTGACTAACCTCTGCATGTGATATTCAAATACCATGTGACCTGAGATTTTTCTTTTGCTGGGATATATTTTTATACCCAGAGCTTGTGGTCTGAATATGTCTCTTTCATGTTCTCTTCTTTGTCATTGCTTTGCTTTTTCCTACTCATTAGGTTAATGAGGAATATGATAGTTTTGTTTTAGCCAAACTTAATTCCAACCTCTATTGCATAGTTTGTTGCCTAAACTTTGTGAATTGCCGTGAGTTGGAAGGCGAAAGTTAATTCTTTCAGGTTTCTGAAAGTAATAACTAAGGGCAGAAAAATAATACATTAGCTATAAACCATACAGCGGATATAAGGCATTGGTTGTCTAAGCTGTCGAGCCTCTGAGATGCAGAAAAACACTAGATCATCCTGAGTGGCAATGGTGGGAAATAAAAGAGAAAAAAAAAAAGGAAAAGAAGAAACTATTTTGGTAAATTGCTGCACCAGAATGGTAACTATGAGAAAACATGTAACAATCTGAATTCCTTTCACGGTCCCATATCAAGTTTAAATATTCATCAGGACTTCCGAGCCAAATTTGCTAGCATTTCAGATCTTGATTCATGTTGATTTGAAGCCTGGAATTCTACTGATTGAATCATCTGAAAATTTTTGTTGCAGCTTCATCTGAATGCCATTTATGCTTTACTAATTTCATCAGTTTTGGGCTTTGGGTTAGCTATGAGCCTCAACTCATTGTACATTCAATATTTTGCTTGGCGAGTTCAGGTTGGCCAGAACGAGAATCAGAACTCGAGTCCAGTATGAGTGGGTATCAGAGTGAAATGAGGTCTAGCATATTATGCTTTTCATAGATTTATGGTGTACATATATCTCTTGTTTATCACCTACTAGGAAACAAACTAAGTACAAACAATTTCGTGGCAATGATGCCAAATGAAGGAAATTCTCCTGCATAATCACTTGCTTTGTCCAGCTCATTTCTTTCTTGTGCAATGGATAACGGTGCATTTTTTATGACTACTCGTTGCTTGATCTGGAAAGGATTAAAACTTGCCAACACAAATTGCAGTGTACATCAACTAAATTAGCTAAATCTAGTCATTTAAAACTTGAGAATTTTCAGGTTTTTTCAATTCAATTGGATTCCAATTTCTAACTTCGTTTTCTTCTGTGTAAAAACCTTAATTCAAGCTTGATGTTTTTTTTCTTTTTCCTTCGAAGAACCAAACCACAAAACTCCCTCCTCGGATAACCGTAGTCGTTCTCGACAGAAAAAGGCCTTCATTTGTTTATCAAAACCTCTTATAGGCAGCTCCAGTTGAACTTTAAATTAATCCCAATGATAATTTGTACGAGAAAAAACCTCTAAATTAATCCCAATGATAATTTGTACAAGAAAACTCAAAAACCAGACGAGGAAAGGTTTCGTCATTAAATAATAGCAAAGACCCCATAATCGTTCTTGCAAAGAGTGTTCCTTCAATAACTTCGACTAGCTCTGTCAAGCATCTATAAACAAAGAGGGAGGGACGGATGTGAGGTAATAAATTATACATTTTCGTGCTGCTGTTCACTGCATGTACATGTTAGCATGTTATACAAAAATGTACAGAGGTGCCGGGAAAAAGAAAAACTATCTACGCTTTGTCACGGGAACGAAATTGTGGCCATCTTTTTTCATCCATATTGTGGAACGAGTTCTCTTGACATGGTCTGCAAAGAGTCGATGCCTGTCATCAAGAAATGCCAGTCTGTTAAAAAAGCATTAAAATACCTTTTTGATCTGCCATGGATGTAAGATCTTTGAGATTTCATCCATGAATATGCCACAAATAAAGAGGCTGAACTAGAATCCAACATATTCTTAAGCCAATAAAGAACAGTGCACAGTTAACAAGTTAGACAAATCGTCTACGTGCATCCTGAGACACATGGACAAGCCAACACAAGAAGCCGTTCCACTGGCCAGAAGATTCAATTTCATTTACTCAAACGGTTAATACTCCTTTAAAAAGAATGCAACCAACCTTTCATATTCCAACTTCTGAGTGACAATTCCATTCAGCAGCAGCTCTGAACTGTAGACAGCAGCCCCTGAAAGTATGAAGGAACAGTGCAAATTCTTATGAGTCAGGATTTTATAATTCATGTGAAGAGATGAACCAAAGTAAAGAACAAGTATTCAAACCTTTTTCAAGGAAAGGTATACAGACTTCATAGTCTTCTTCGCAAGACAAAATCAACAGATCATCTGGGACTACATCCTTTAGAGTAGATCTGCCTACTCGCTCCACTGCCTGGTACGCAATTCAACAAGCATTATAAAGCAAGAATTGCAGAAAGCATCTGAATAACTTAATGGAGTAATCCAAAGTTTCAACAACCACATATTCAAAAAAGACAAAGGAAACAGATATGTGTGCAAGCCACATATGGGTGCATGTCTGAGAGCATCCAATGGAAATATAAATCCAAATCTTTATAAAACCATCTGTGGCACTCAATAATAGTAACTTAAGTTTAAAAAACCATCTAGTTGATGAATTATGGAAGTATAACCAGACAGTTTATCCAATTCCCCATAGATAATAATGCTCCTAAGTGATCATAAAATCGGCACATACCTGGCCATGAACTGCTTTGACCAAACTGGAAATTATTTCTTTACCCGGCTTTGTCATAGGAGTGATCAAAACTGTTCGACCCTGCAGAAAATGCTACTTTAACAAACAAACAGAAGAGGACAACCCTAAACAATATGACAGCATAAAGCAAAAGATGGTGGGTTGACCAGAATCCAGATCTCATGCTTCTTTATGGACTTCATCTTTCCCCACATATTAATCATCAGAATGCCTTAAACATAATAAAACTTACATTTAAAAGCGGATGCTGGCGTGCATGAGCCAATGAAACTGCCAGGTTAAAGCCAAACTCCTTTTCCTTTTTCGAGTCTCTTACTATGTACTTTTGCTCATCAATGTAATAGTTAACTTGTCCAATATTCTCAAGCCATAAATGTGTGACCACTGGTTTTCCAAAAGCAATAGCTTCCAACATATTCCTTGTACGCACAAATTTATCAGTGACAAAGTGTGTTGCATCTGTCATGGAGGATGCTATGGGAACTTTAAGCCGATCTGCTATCTGTAAGACATGATAAACAGGTACTATCTAGTTAAACCAGCCTAGCACCATATGAAAAGGAGCTCATGAATTCCAAAGGACTACCTTTCTCTGCTGCTTAATTATATCCTCATCCAGGTGATGGCTGAAAAGGACTCGAACATCAGACAAATCTCTTCTCTTCCTCGTATCTTTTGGTTCAGAAATAGGTCCTGGCCATGCAGCACATAGTTGACTCACTTCTTTCACAAGGCATGATCTTGACAGGTTCTTCCTGCATGATTGCTTATATCCAGAACCCATACAGACAGGTGATGCAGCACTCACTGGTGTCATACAGATACCAGGAGAAGTACATGCTGATTCATGAGATTTTGTTTTCTTCCTCGACAAATTATCTGAACTTGGCAAATTCACTTCATTTTCAGCAGATGGTGAGGAAAATGCATTACTTCTTCTATCTGAGGATTTTATTGCATCCACTCCCATTAGATTGTTAGACATCATCTTCCCATTCATATCAGCAGAATTGCCATTGTGGGCAGCGCCATCCATGCCTGGTTTAGGAACATGTCGAGTTGACAAATCTGGGCAAACAGATAAGGATGATCTCGTTTTCCTCTTCATGTTTAAATCAGTACTAGTAATTCTAGCCTTTATCCGTGACCTTCTGCACCCACTCACAGATTTTGCAATATTTCCTGGTTGACAAGATGGTTTGGATTGAGCATGTAAGTTCTGAGGTTCATCAAGCTGACCTGACAAGTTTTGACGAGATCTTTTTCTTCTGGGAAAACTGATGTAATTGTCTGGAGCAACCAATCTTGATTTAGAAGTTTTAGGTTCTCCAGATTGACTAGAACCCAATCCTGAAGAGTTCCCTTTAGCATTCAACACTTTAGATGTCTCAACATCCACCACACCAGCTTTATTCTGCTCAAGACCACCCAACTCGACCAGACTGCTGGTTTCTTCTCTATAATCAGTGGACACATTCTCAGTACTTTTTAATTGAGAAAGTGCCAATGACTGCCTGGTCCTGTGAGCAACTGGTGTTAAAGTACCAAGCTCCTCTGGTAAGTCTTGTTTCTTAACTGAGCGATGACCACTTGAAGCAGTTCCATGGCATCTATCCAACTCATCAGGTGCAGCATCTGACCTAGTCCTCTTAGTTCTTGTCATTGCAACATCTGTATCACAGTCCTTCCTGACATTTTCTGGATAATTTCGAGAAGAAACTAAAGATTGTTTACCTGATTTAGTGCTTCCCCTTGAAGCAGTTCCATGACTCCTATCCGATTTACCAAGTCCAGCATCTGACCTAGCCCTCGTACTTCTAGTCATTACTACATCTGTATCACGCTCCTTCCTGACATTTTCAGGACATTTTTGTGATGGAGTTAAAGATTGTTTACCTAATTTAGCACTGATCTTCAATGTTTTCTTCAATTGATGTGTGGCAACTCCAATATCCTCATTGTTGCTAAAAGAATGGTTTTTTGAACAGATGCTCTTTTTAGCTTTACTTCTCAGTGATCCTTCCGTAAGATCCTTGCAATTAACTGCCAGAACCTGCTGGCCATCATTAGTTGCATCATAAGCAATGCCCTCCCCATGGAATAAGGCTTCCATAGCCTCAGCAGCCATTTGGGTGTCCAAACCTATATCTAGCATTTCTGGGACCTCCTTCCTAGTAAGAGCTTCCAACTGTCCTGCTGATGTATCCAGTTCAGATTGTTCATCAAACTCATTAAAAAGACTCCTACTAACATTCATTTCAGTTTCTTGCATCATCCTCTTATTAGCTCTTAGATTATGCAAATCTATTTTTGACTCAGAGTGAACCAGTATTACATTCTGGACATTTGATTTTCCTTCGTTGTCCCTGCATACACCCAGTTGATTTCCTTTGGATTTTCGGGATTTCATAAAGGATCTCTGCCCAAGGTTTTCAGTACCAAAAAATTCTTCCTTTCTTCTGCAGAAAACATCTCCTCCTCCCTCATCCTCAAGTAGATCATCCCAGTCAAAAACCCTGTTTCTTCCCTTGGTGCCTCTATCTATCGTTTTCTTGGCTAAACTTTGTGCCCCTTTTGCAGCTGAAATGTGACTTGATTTTCTCTTATCAATTTTCCCCAGGTCAACTTCATTGTCAAACAACACCTTGTTCTCTTCAATCAACTTTTGCACGCATGCAAGTGCATTTGCTTGTGACAAATCTCCTGGTTCTTGGGAGTCAATATAGCTTAACCCCACCACCCCATCATCACAAATGGGCACTTCTTTGCCTCCTGCAGAATGTCCTTTGGTTCCAATAAAGAAATTCTCAGTGAACAGTTTTCTCACTGTAGAACAACCAACATTGTACCTGTTTCCATTGCTATATCCCTTCACTTCATCATCAACTCTCCCAGTATCACGTCCCCTATCAACTTCCTCTGGAATTTTTGTTTTTGACCCATTATTGTTGACAGTAAATTGTTCTGAAATCTGACCATCAGTCGGAAGAGAACAAGAGTCACTGTTCTTGGTTCCCTTTGAAGCAGTTCTGCTAGCTGCTGCTAGACCAGAGGCCCGCAGTGACTCTATACGAACTGAAGCAAACTTGGGAACAGATCCTGGGAGCAAGATGGAGAAATAACAGTAAAAATAAAACCAGAAAAATATTGTAATTGTAACAAGAAACCCATCATATATTGCATAAAATGCCAACATAAAATTTCAATTTTCTTCAAGTAAATTATCAAATTGTATTGCTTGCCATCACTGTTAGAGTCATAACCCAGTTTTTGACCCCATATTTAAAAAAATAAATAAATAAATCAAAAACAACAACAAAAGAAAAATTTATAAAACAATAGAATGCTTTCACAAATTAGGAATAAAAATACCAGTAAATCCTAAAAGTCCTTAAAAATTATAAAACTACCTAACAATTACAGAAAATCATAGAAACTAAGCAACATGCAATCTTTTGAATTTTTCATTGTCATATTTTCTTCAAAAATGAAAAAAAATAACAGGTAAAAATTGGGTTATGACAGTTAGTCATCTGGTGCAGAGCTTTAGTATTTTGTTACACGTCCAACGACCAATATGCTCCACTTAATATATTCAATTGAAGAAAATATAGTTTCATAGTCACAATTCATTTGGTTAACATAAGTTCTCCTTTGGAACAATTTAGTAGATGTTTAGGAAGATTTCATGCGATATGTACTAATTCTCATGAAGGACAAGGGAAAAAAGACCAAAAATATCATGTGAGAACATGGGTTTTGGTTCTGATCTGATGTGAACTACTAATGTTGAAGTTGAAACATGTAATCATAAAGACATTGAACAAAGTGCTAGTCTTAGTTTTCAAAACCAGTAATAACATAATTACGTAAAGAAAGAATGGGTGTATATTTTTTAGTTCGATTTTTTACAATTTCATGAGTAACCCCACTAAAGACTGATGTTTTAATCCAAAGAGAGTGTTAAATATCAAACAAGCTGCATACAATTGTGCCACTAGATAACCCCTTTTATTTCCTAGTCAATCCTTCATTTAAGGCGTAAAATTAATGTTTAAGAGACATATCAGAAGAACTAAGGTATATTTAATTTTAACAGTACAAATTTCTGGAAGCTTTATCTGTCAACTACTAGGCAAAGATTTGACTTTTTTCCATTATCTGAATCAGAATAACTCACCTGATAAATGCTGTTTATCTGTCGAAGCATCAGATTGCTCCACCAATCCCTTCTCACCGTGTTTAGAAAGAGAAGTGTCTTGAATCTTCTCCCAATCCAATGATTCACATTTGCCTCTTCTTCCACATTCATCACCAGAGAGCTCATTACCATCATCCAAAACTTCAGTTCTATCCGTTCCTTCACCATCACTATCAATGACCTCATCTATCAATTGCGTGTCCAAATTCTCACGCCAATCGAGGTCATCCAACACTTGTGTTTCCCCACCAAGATTCACTACTTGGGTCTCAAATGCATCTTCAACTCTAACAGTATCCTCAAAAGGCATAGTACTTTGTAAAAAGCACGGCTCATTGGCATCCTCACCTTTTTCACCTAAACATTATATAGTAAAAACAAAAATAAAACTAAATCAATATGAAATCATCAACAACTATTTATAAATCTTCATCTGTCTAAATAGCTACATATTACTAAAAAACAAGAAGAAGAAGTTATAACAACATTAACAGACACACAAAGACAGGCTGCACTCAAATGCTCTTATGTGGTCGAATCATGCTAAATATACATAAAGAATGATAAAATTTTAAAATTTCCAGTTCACAATCATCGACTAAACTGAAAACGCACAAATTTCAATTCTTTCCCAACAACAATTGTGATATATGTCAATAGGTCTTGTAATCATTCGTCCTTATACAGTAAAAGCTTCCTTTTTCCTCATTAAAAAAAAAATCGCACACGATTTCAGTTGTCATATGGCAACATTCTTTCTGATCGACTCTTCTAATTCAATCAAATATTCTAAATAAAAAATTTGCTTAAAGCACAAAATTGCTTGGTCACTATAGAAACTAAAAAATCACAGTAATGCGGCCAAAACGAGGGGCAGATTTCTCTAGACTATTTACAAAATTTTAACTTGATCAATTAAAACAATTTACAAAAAGAACTGAACTTTATGGCTTACACAAATAGAAATCGAAGAATTACCATGAAATGGAGAGGGTAAAAATTGAGAATCAAAGGGCGGAGTATGAGAAGAGGCAAAATTGGTATTTGGGTCTTCACTCCCTGCTTTAATTTCACAATCTCCATCGTCTCCAAGAGAACCCATTTTGATTCAAAAGGAAATTCCCAACTTTTTAAATCCCTAGAAGTGTCAGTGTGTTTATTAGTTTTTTTTTTTTTAAGGAAAAATTGCCTAAGAACCTGATCAAATAGGGCAGAAAAGAATTGATTAAGAAAAGGGTGCTTACTTGACTAGTGGAGAAGAAGAGATATTGGTGGTGGAGGGTTAGGGTTAGAAAAGTGGAGTGAACATTGAGAGGGAAATATAGGAGAATTTTGGAGGGAAAATTGATGTGATATGTGTGGATTTTACTCTAGCTAGCCAATCTCTCTCTCTCTCTCTCTCTCTCTCTCGTTTTTTGTTTAATAAGACAAGTGCTAAGCAATATTAATTTTACGCATCAACCAAATTTAGAATTATGATAAGTTTTTCACTCACCTTTACGGATCGAACAAAATATATAAAATAATTTTAATTTAAAAATTTACATTTCATTATGAATTCATCAAAATAAATTATAATATATAATTTTAATTTGAAGATTTGTACTTCATTATGAATCCACCAAAATGTATTGTAATATAGATTTTTTTTTAAAAAAAAAAACCATTCAATTTTATTTTTTTATTAAAATTTTATGTTTGACTAATTATTAATTATATTTTTCATAAATTATCTAGAAAAAAGATATGATTTATTCTTATTTATTCGATTCTTAACTAAAAACTTATGATAATCTAAAAATAAAATATAAAACTCCATGGATTTTTAATTAAAAATTCATTTTGTAAATTTTTTTTTCAAAAAATCTAATACAAATTCTCTAATATATATATATATATATATATATATATATATATATATATATATATATATATATATATATATGTTGCTATCATTTAAAAATTCTAAGAGTTCATCATATAAATTATATAACTTTATTTTTTAAAAAGAAAATAGTCACGTTCAAAAATTTTATTTAAAAATTCATACACAAAAAATAATAAATCATATTTAAATAAAATAAAAATTAATTGGATGGCAATCTCTATAAAAAATGACAAATTGAAGAAATAAATTTTAAATAATAAAAATAATATGATCTAAAATATATGTTGAGCGATAGTGAATAGTGCAATTGGGTGTAATGAATTAGTATTCTCTTTTTAGTATTTTGGTTAATAGAATTCTACAATCGGTAATTATTTAGTAGGTAGTCAAGAATTAATTTTAAAAGTTAATAGTTAATAGAACATAATAAAAAAAAATTGTATTATTAGGACGTATGAAATTTACACTATAAAAAATAAAAAATTAATTCGAATCGAACATCGGTAATAATTAATTACAACGCAAGTTAAATGTCCATTCGTAGAGTTCAATCATGCGGACGAGTCATTTAAGAATTCTTCACTCTCTCTTGTTTTGAAAAATGAATTAATTAGTATTTTTGATTTCAAAAAATAATTATTTAATTATTTTAACTAATGCTCATCACAATTATTTTATCTTTTTATTTTCTAAAATGTTTTATTCTCTCATCAATATTTTTTATTTATTTTCTATTTTTAAAAAACAAAAAAGTGAAAAAAAATTGAAACATAGAAAAAATGATAAAAAATAGTCTTTAAAATTAGATGGACTAATTAATTTATTTCTGTAAAAAAGAGGGACTAATTTATAATTTACTCTTTGAGGCTCCTCTCCAATCAAATCACGAAAGAAGGAGGGAAAAAAAAAAAAGCACATGAGCATTAAATGCTTGATATAGAAAGAAAGGGAAATGACGAGAAGGCTAAAAGATAAATAAGAAAGAGATAATTAGTTTAGGGTAAATGTAAATTTTCAGACATTCGTTGAGCGGTAATAAAAGTAATTACATGCAAAAGAGAAAGCCATTTATAAGGCAGAGGAAAAAAGAAAAAGGAAAATTAAAAAGAAAATCAATTAAGGGTGAATATAGATTTTCACAAATTTACTGAGTGGCAATGATAGTAATTAAAGAGAAAAAAGAAGGTTCTTTATAAAATAAAAGGTAAAAAAAAAAAAAACTTAGTCCACAGTAAAATGAGAGAGGATGAACAATCTAAAAACGAGTTAAATGACTACGCCTTTTAGTTTCTTTTAATAAGAGCTAATGATATTTTCGATGCATAAGCTATTTCGATTAATTTATGAATATCTCTATTTTTAATTTTTTACAAGTAAATTTGCAATCTAGTAATTTTTTTAATTAATGTTTTTTGTTAAATTTTATATGTGTTATCTCGTTATAAATTAATATGTTATAGTATGTGCTCTTCAATTATAAATTATTTTTTAAAATTTATTTCTAATTAACTATCAGTATTTTTATTTTTATTGTTTGAATGCTTGTGCTTTCATTTGTTTTTATATTTCAACTTTTAATAATTTATAAATAAAATGATTTTGTTTGTATCTATTAATTAATTGTTAAGTGTTTCATTGACATCCTTATATCAAATTTTCTCTATTAGACTCCTTATGAACCTGTATTTAAGATCATTAATTTGTAAAAATAATCAAGAATGTTAGCTCACAGAAACGGCAAGGGTATGTATGATTTGCGTGTAAGATGAGGAAATTGAATGAAACTAGCTTCTTATCCTTCTTCTTTTTATTTCAAAACAAGCTTATTTTTATTTTTTTAATTTAAATAAATTTGTTATATATAGTTTTGTTGTTTAATTTTTTTTTATATTCATCTTGAGTTATAAAAACAACACAAATAAAAATATGCAATAGATATCAATAGATTTCATTTAAAAGTTTATAAAATAAAAAAGGAACGAGATGCTATCTAAAAAATTAATAGTACACATTTAACAGATATATCAATACATCACATATCAATTTAATGAACATGTTAATACATAATAGATAAGCGATTGATGCTTCTAGCTAATTTTGTAGATGAAATTACTGCAATCAAACTCCCTTGACTTAAATAAAGCACCTGATTATATATATATATACACACATAAAACTTACTCACTCGAATAAATAAATAACTGAAAACGTCTTTGTTTTGAAAGTTTTATTAACTTGTATGATAATTATGACTCCACAAATGGAAGCACGTTTGTTAAACAATAATTATTATGTTAATGCTGTGGCGACCAAAGGGCATTTGGTCTAGTGGTATGATTCTCGCTTAGGGTGCGAGAGGTCCCGAGTTCAATTCTCGGAATGCCCCTTTGATGAAGAAGAAAATTAAATTCAATACTTTTTTCTTTAAGGTTTTGGCTGGGAAGGAAAGATTCTGGACTTCCCTCGACTAAACTTTTGGGTTATGGCTCTACAGGCTTTCCACTAAACTGTTTGTTTTATTTACTTTCGGCGTTGACACCCAGTGCACAGATATAGAGAAAGGTGCACTGGTTTGGCCAACGCTTTCTCTGTGGATTCAACTTGAGCTATTACAAAACTAATACCCCAGCCAGAAAAGATATCTACTCGTCCTGTAGCACTTAAAGAGAGGAGTGAGTCAAAACGAAGCATAGGAAGATAATAAATAAATGCCAATGTGCACAAGCCCCTGACAGCAGATGAAAAGAGAAATATAGCAAGCAAGAAATGGGCATTGAGACAAGCCACCAGCTTGTACATAGACAAAACGGAAACCTAAAAAGTTTAAACCAGGATCTCTGTTTGTGTGGGAGGTCATTGAGAACGAGTTAGATCGATCAAATTATTAGGAATTAGTATCTTGTAGAAGTAATTATTAATTAACCAAACAAAAAAGAAAACAAATAATAAAAGACGTAAATGAAAATCCAAACAGTTCTATTAATATGCAAGTTTTTTCAAGTTGAGAGTTATATGAGATGTGTGATGTTAAAATGAAAGAGTTTGAGAGAGTATAAAGAAAAGATTAAAATATCGAAAACTATAAAGTGTTTTAGCAATTGATATAGTTAGTATTTAGATAGAAAAAAGAATTGTTTTTAATCATTGGAATTGCGACATGTCATCTATATTTAGATAATTAGATTTGAGTTGAATATAAAAAAAAAATAGATTTTTTTTTTAAATTAAACCGTTTCAACTTGTTATCAATGTTAAAAGCACTAATAATTGAATATTCTTTTAATCCATCTTGTTTTAAGATTATTAAGTCAATTTTTTTAATACATTCTAAGAACAAAACATAGACATTAATTTTGCCAGAATATCTATGTTTAGTCTTACACATTCTAAAGCCATATGCAAGACAAAATCCATCATTAACCTAATCTATTTGTTGTCTAACTTGAATTCATGCTAAATTAACAATAATAATAATAACATAAATAAATACATAATTAAATTAATTAATTAATATTTATGGACAAATAAAGTTTGTACACTGTTCATGTCTTGGATTTATAAACATTGATGCAGCCTAAGCAACCCTATCAAACTTCTTAAAAAAAAAATCAACTCAAGAAGGACCAGCCCTGCAAAACCAAACAATACAGACCATCTCTTGAAATGAACATCTATTGAAGAAAGAACCTGCAAATGCACACACAAACGTGCCTGTGGTGCAGGCAGCACTCAATTCTGATAAAATACCAAAAGAGGGAAAACAGAGAAGAATGAAAGAAATGAAAACAAACAATAACCATTTATGGCGAACAATCAGTATCAAGCTATCATAAGAAAGTCACTAATCTCCACTTCATTATGGTCTGACCTTCTGCATTTCTAAAGACAACTCCTCCAGCCATGTCTGTTTGATTAAAAGGGGAAAAAAAAAAAAAAAGGGCCACTTTTGTGTTAATCTTGAGAAAATTTTGGGCAGTGGGTTTCCAGTGCACCTTACTTGGATCACTGAATGAGCACTCCCACCGTTCTCTTAAATTCAACGTAAAAGCGAACTTAAATTCCAATATTGGACAACGTTTCAAAACAAACCATGGACATGAAATTCACATAAACAACACCGAATTCAGCAAGTGTTCTAACCGTTAGGGCACTGTTCTTGGGGGGACTGGATTAATATCCAACACAAATGAAGCATTTCAAGCATTCACAGAGAGAGAGAGAGAGAGAGAGAGAGAGAGAAGATGGGGAGAGATGGCAAGCATGATATACGACCAGCGTCCAATACATTAGTAACTTCACGCAACTAAAATTCTTATCCTAAATTTAATACAAGTGGATGATGCCTCTGACATCAAACCTCCACACCCAAATAGGAAAAGAAACAAAAACGAAACCGCAAAATGAACCAAGTGGAGCGATGAGATTTAACTTTTGTAGCTTTGGCTAATTAGATAATCCTGTCGGTGACTTCTCACCCAACTGACCAAGTTGCATATCAACATTAGAGGGACCGAAAAGACGGAAGTAAAAAGAACATACGCTGCTTCAGACAACATTGAGTTCAGCATATCCATGATGCATTGATTCAACCTTACAGAAGAAATGCGATCGCTAGTGAGGCATGAAGGAAAAAGTCTAGCAAAAATTTACATCATTAGACTTGTCAATTTGTCATTTCAATTCATGCAAAATAATGAACTGGCAATGCTGCAGGATCAAGTTCCCAGAAGCCTCTGAGACTCCCACCCCTCTCTTCTGTCAATCGATGAGCAGGAATTTGATGGGAGAACCTAATCAGCTCAGTACAGGGAACCGACCGTGTAAGAGCCGACTGCCCTTTTAATTTTGTCTTGAAAACTGAGTTGAAACCATCTGCACGTTCTAAAAGTGAGACCCTAATCCGCAAATCATTTTGATCAAGGACTTCCACCACATCATATTCACAATTCTCCAAGTCAGAATGTTTAATTTCAGGGGACCAATTCCTGTACAGAGCCCAAACTTCACCATTCCTCGGTAAAATGGTATATTCATTTTTCTTACCAGCAAATTCTACAGTTAATCGATGCGAGAAGGAACCAGTGGACGAATAGTACTGTAATTTTCCACTTTTTGCCTTAAATCTTCCACAACAAATAGGCATTTCCTTATCTTGCCACCGAATCACAGTTTTTGGCAGCAAACACGGAGTAAGCCAACTTAGACCCAACTCAAAACCTTGGCCAGAATGAATTTTCATAATTTGACCATAGTACTTTGGCAGGCCATCCTCGTCACTGTACAGTGACCAGATCTGACCGACCTGGAACTTTTCAATGGATTTCTCTGCATCGAAGTTGAAAAATTCTGGTTCTGGAATTTCAATAGCATCTTCAACACTGCAATCTTCCATGATGCTGTCACAATCATCCTCAGATAGCAGAGAGGTCCCCTTTGTGTCAGGCTGATGCATCGAAGTACCTGCTTCGCACACAACTTCAGGTTTTGCTTTGTCTGAAGATCTCGAACATGATCCGTGACAATGAGCATTGCCAACCTCCTCTCTGTAATCTTCAGGATTGGCACTCTCTATAATTTTTTTTGGCAAAGAAGCTGGATCAAGTTCAAAAGATCCCATTGGCACACCTTCTCTTTCCTCACCAGTCAGTTTGAACGATGGAATCATGTGGGAGAACCGGAACATTTCACCGGGAGGAATTTCAAATGCGTCCATCCCTTCCTTTCTAATCCGACAAAAAAGGCTCACAAAGCCCTTCACTTTACCCAACATGGCAACACGTGCACCAACACCCTCAGCATATTCGGACAAAATTTCAACAAACTCATATTCATAGTCCTGATGAGCATCTGCATCAGATTTCCATTTGAGATCCCAATTTTTGAAGAGGGCCCAAGTCTCTCCCTTTCTAGGAAATATCTTGTAAGTGTCTCTTTGGCCGCCTTCTTCCAAATCAATTGGATGAGAAAACATTAGCCGCTTGTCAGTGCGTTCGGATTTTCCATATTTGAAATTACCACAAGCCGCAGGTAAGCCCGCCTCAACCCATTCAATTTCATTCTGATCATCTGGGCATACCTCTAGCCAGGTTATCCGCAAGTTGAACCCAGGAGTAATGACTTTCTTGATTCGAGCATAAAATCTAGGCATGGCATCCTCGGTATCATAAACAGCCCATACCTGCCCCACTGAAAAGCACCCTTCACCCCGGTCTTTGTCAAAATCATGGAAATCAGGATCAGGATAGTCATATGAATCAGGAACTGATGTGGATTCTGAGGTTGAATCTGATGACAAATGAATAGGAGCTTCAGAATTTTTCTGACAGCCATTTGCCTCTACCTTTTCTTTTCCCTTCACGTTCTTGGTGTCCTTTATTCCATTACTTTCTTCCTGTACCCGGATGTTCCCATCTTTCACATCAGCAGCTACACTAGATTGATCTTTTCTATCAGACCCCTCCCCCTTCATTCCATTTTCTTTCTCTTCAGTGGCACGGAATGATCCACTCCCCTTGGCCATTTTCTGATCTCTCATAAAGTCTTCATCATCACTCACATTCTCCTTATAAGAAACCTGCTGCTTTTGACGTCCAGATCGCCTTGGAAACTCTTCTTTACATTCAAAATTCACCTCAGCCTTAAAATCACCATCTTCCTCACTAACCAGTTCTTCTTCAGAATCAGTTTCAGTGTTGCAACTCTCACTGGACTCCTCTTCTTGCTTCCTCTGTCTTTTACCAGTTACTTTTTCTGAACGAAACTCTGTTTTAGATGGCTCAGTGCTCAGATTTTCTTGGCGTCCCAATTCCACTTTGCTGGCAGTCCGATTTGGGATATCCTTCCTTTGTGGAAATGATGATGGATTTAAGTTACTTGCTGTTGGAGGGCCCTGTCCATTCCTTTCATATGCAACAAAGGATATATTGCAACTCTGGCACACAAGAGGTTTGTTAATAATTTCTATGAAATACTGGTATCTTACAGTACAAAATGGACAGGCAGTCCAAAAAGTTGGCCGGCCATTACAGGAATCCCGTTGAGAGGCTGGTTGTTGCGATTGCCTGTAATGCGGATTGACGCCACTAAAGTTTGAGCTGTAGGTTGCCTTCTGTGGGGGCCGGTATGGTGGTGCAGGTTTACTCAAAGAAGCTTTGCGTTTAATATCATGCAAGGACCGTTTTCCTTTGTCTAAAAGCACTGTTTGAGCATCCATAATTAACTTAAAAGCAGATTCTGCACCAGGGAGCTGATTTTTGTCGGGATGAAGTTGGAGAGCAAATTTCCTGTACTGCTTCTTGATAGTTGCCTCATCAGCTGTCTCTTCAATCTGAAGGATGCCGTACCAGTCCATCTCAGTCCCTAACACTTTCTTCTCGGCAGCGCAATGTACATCACAAACAGTTAGCATCTGAGAAATGTTATCCAAGTCCTTATAAAGTTGTTGGGCCTTGAGTCCAATTCTACGGGCTGCTAGAAACTCCTTCTTTACCATCAAACTCTCTGCAATGCCCTTCGCCCTGAAGGCCTCTTCTTTGTTGCACTCCATCCCTAAATTCAGATGACCAGTTTGAAAAACAGAGCTTCCACAAACCACCAGAAAAATCCACTTTCAAGTCTTACATCCACACGGACCCTGCAGATTCATACAAATGGAACATAAATAAGAACTTTGATTAACTTGGAAAACAAGAATGGTGCTCTCAAGAATAATTCACATTTTCTGTAGGCTTTCCAGCAACCATAAGTAACAAAAAATTACATGAATGGCGGACAAAAATAGAGAATCGGCATAACATATAAACATCCAAAAAATCATCGAGCAATTTTCACAAATATTCAACCAGCAAATCTAAACCTGAAAAAAAATAAATAAATAAACACACGCATCTGCAGCTGAAGCACTGAAAGACGTATAGTCTCTGATTTCAACCAATTCCAAGTCCAATGTAACAAATTTTGCATCTATAAGCACAAGATTCAAAGAACAAAATCAAATAGTTTCTAACAAGCAAACACCAGTATTTTTTTTGTTAATGACATGAACAGGCAATCCAACAAGTTACATGCTTTACAAACAGGCAAATTCAACAGACCAAAATTCAGTAATCGATCACTAAATTACATTAACAGGACTGGACATAGACCAACTGAAGTACTCTGTTTCTAACCAACCATGCCACCATTGTAATAGTCAAAACATGAACCACCCATAATGGCACACCTACAAAACTAAGAATGCCTCATAGCCCTAAACCTCTCTTAGCAAATTTCAGGAAAACAGGGACCAAAAACCCTAATTGTGTCCAAAGTAGGCAAGAACCAAGTAAAGCAAGAAACTTTGGACCTCGAAACCTAATATATTAATTAACAACAAGCACGTGCAAAATGAAGCAGAACCAGAAATAATGCAACCTTAAAATCCCTGACAAAGGGATAATTGAGTTAGGTATTCAATTAAAAAAAATAGAACTCTTAGGTACAAAAACTACAAGAGAAGAAAGAACTTTACTGGTTTATCTCACAAGAAAGGAAACACAAGGCAATCCCAAAGTGAAACAGAGCTAAGCATTAAGACCGACAGATCTTGAGAAGAATAGAGTTAATTTATTTTAGAATGATAATTGTTGCAAGTGAGACCTAATTTCTCGATTGGCACTCTCTCTGTTTGAAAGAGATGGAAATTCTTATTGGAAAATTTAGAGGTTGAGGGGCTTTTTTGTAATTTCACTTTACTTTTTTCTCTTGCTAATATATCCTTGTGATTTTTGTAATTTGCAAATTAGGGTTTTGATGGCGGTTATAATCATAGTCTCTGTTTATTTGGCGGAAAACAACTTTCAATAGAAAAATTAATTCTCGAGAATCTATTTTTTAGGAAGTTGTTTTTCAAAAAAATATTTTCTAACGTTTGGTAATTACATGAAATAACGAACTGAAAAATATATTCGAGCGTTTGTTTGATATAAAAAACTCGAAATACAAAAATTATTATATTAATGAGTTTTAAGAAAACTTTAACAAGACATATTCATAATTTTACAATATAAGATGAATTTAGAAAAAATTTAATAAATTTTTATAAATACTGGTTCTAATATTTAAATTCAAAAAATAAAATATATATTTTTAATCATCAAACCAATTCATCAAAACTACTTGGGACAAAATCAAGTCAATATTCATATTTAGTGAAAAAATTTGTAAGTAATCCTAGTATTGTTATTTTGGTAACTCAATTCGGAATTCTTTTTTTTTTTTTTGTTTAAGCGATAATTTAATCTAAAAAATAGTTTTACAAACTATTAGTTATTATTTATAGATAATTATTCATTTGGTTTCAAAAGATTAATGTTGGAATAATTTGTAACTAATTATAGACGACAATTACCAATAAAATTTTACAACTGATTAAAATTAGTAAAAAATTATTGATTTAGTTGCAAATGAATAGTATTGAAAAATAATATATTTATTAATGAATTAATTAATTTCAAATTATTCACAAATAATTACGAGTCTTGTAATAATCATTTTCAATAATTTAAATATAGTTTAGGTAGTGTTTGAGATAATGATAAAGAAAATAGAGATAAATTATTGAAATATTTATTATAAAAATAATTTTAAGGCGTAAAAATGGTTTTTAAGAATATTTAATGTATTTATAAATAAAAAAAATCAAATGTTAGTAGAAATAGAGAAAAAATAATTAAATAATTATAAATTAATTTGATATATTTTAAATAAAAAGAATACGAAAAAAAAATGTTAAAATACATCGAGAGAGAGGTGAGTAACGCGAGAGCGAGACGGATCGTGAGAGAGATGAAAAATGTTTTTCTTTTTTTTTAACTCAAAAAATATTTTTTCAAAAATACTTTATCATTTTCACGTTAACTTTTTTCCTAAATATGAAACAAATATCGGAAAATGAGAAAAACAAGTTCTTGAAACTTATTTTTCTCTAAACAAACACGATTATAACTGGTAAACCAATCTCAAAATCCAACTTAATCGAAGACCCAAATCATTAGCCCATCTTGTAAATATTGAAAACTCGAGTTATTAGGTTGGGTAATCGGTTAAACTTTTTTTTTCCACTTTACTTTTTTCTTTTGCTAATATGCTCTTATAATTTTTGTAACTTGTCAATTGGTATCTCGATAATGATTATAACCATAGTTGTAAAACCAATTCAAGAATTTAATTCAATTGAGGACTTGGATCATTGAGTCAACATGTGAATCATCGAAAACTCAAGTCTTTAAGTCAATTTGTGGGTCATCTAATCAATTTTTAAACTTTTTTTCTTTGATTTTTTTTTAATTCTTTTTGCGAAGTCGAATTTAATCAATTTAGTACTTTAATTATGTTTTGATTAGGTAATAATTTAAACAATCCGATTAAAAACCTGATTTGGTATAATCTTTAAAAAGTAGGTTAGATTTTCAAGTCATCCTTCTAGACTAGAGTGTATCGAATTTAAAAGCATAATGATAAATATATCAAATAAGAATAACAAAAATTATCGTTTAGTAATATTCAGTTTGGGCTGATTTGATTTAAGAAGTAGTTTAATGTCAATAAAAAATTAGACATATTCGATATTAATTTAACTCTGGAAAGTGGTGAGTGGTGAATTTAGTCTTGATTGGTATAGAGTTTGGTTCGAGAATACTTCACTACTTATGAATATCCCAAAAGCTTACCGAAATCTTTTTAATTAATGGTTATTTTGCAACAAATTCTAAAAAACTTAAAAATTGAGTCCAATTGTCGAACAAGTTATAAAAATCCTAATAAATAAATAAATTATCAATAAATAAAAATAGAAAAAATGATATACTATTCTATGTGGCAATAAAAAAATCAAGATAAACCTTGAAAGTTTTAGAAAAAGAAAATAGATAAATAATAAAAGTTTATCTATATGCTAGCACTATTCGCATAACGAAATTGCACCTTTTTTTTTTGGTTGACAAAATGACGAAGTTATCCAATGCAATAATTAAAGACAATGGTTGATGACTTGGTATATATATATATATATATATATATATATATAAGATGCTACATAAGACCAAGATGGAACAACTAGGAATGGCCATCTCTACCTCGTCCCGCCCACGAAAAGCTCTATCCATCCTTGCTTTGTTCCCCCACGCGAGGTAATATTTCCCCTACCATCCCTCTCTCCAATGGGGATGAGGATCCTTATAGGGCACCGATGCCTCGCCTAATTCTTTATGCCCGCCCGCCCCATTCTACCTCATATCATTTTGTACCAAATTTAAAACTATAGCAAAAAGATAATAGTCTATATAAAAAAATACAATTAAGAAAAACAATCATTTAACATCATATTCAACTATAAGTTTATAACACAACTCATAATATATTAAATTATTTTCAATCAAATAAATAACATACTTAATTAAGTTGATGAAATATCACAATTGCCAATATTACAAATTCAATTAAAAAAACAAATCTTTGCATGTCTTTACTACTTAGAGATCATCAAAACTCACTCATTATATTGGACTTCGACGTAATCATCGATTACTGCATATCCTACATTCATTAAAATTAAAAGTGAATTAGTCATCACAAAAATTTTTTACGCGATCATTTAAACTTTGATATATTATTTTATACCTTCATCTTCTTCGGATACTCCTCATACATAGTACAATAACCATCTAAAACAAATGGAGTTCCACCTAGAAACAAATACAATAAACATAAATAAGATTCGTAAAATTTTCAAGAAATTAATAAAAAAATTAGATTCATATGTAGAGTTTTAGTACGTTACTTTCATTTTCAGCTGCCAAAAACCAATTTTGAGCACACATCAATGCTTTTATCGTCTTTGGATGAAGTCTACTTTGATGTGGACTTACCGATCTGCCACCAACACTAAAAGCTAATTTTGAAGCAACAATTGACATAGGGATTGCCAAAACATCCTTAGCAATTACCATCAAAGTATGGTACTTCATCCTATTTACTTTTCACCATATTAGAATATCAACATCCTTGGTTCTTGGAATAACACCCTCATCTAAATAGTGGTCTAACTCTATCTTGACAAAGGTAACCTTAGCCTTCTTTCTTGAAACATACAAGTCAAACTTAGATTTCATATCCTCAACAACCATTAAAGGATTAGCCACAAGCAAAGCTACCACATCCTCTATCCACATTCATATTTTTTGATACTCGACCAATAAATCACAACAAAGCTTTCTTATATTATCAACCTAAACTATCGCCTCACTCCTATAAACTTTCTCAAAATAGAACTCAATTGAATCCATTGTGTATATAAGATCTAAAACTACAACTACTCCCATTATTTTATGAATGACACTTATTGAACTTTTCTAACATACTTTCTACCATTTCACTAGCCATTTGATTAGGACAAGTGAGTCACCGAGTCAATGCAACCTTAATTTCATAAATTTTAGTAAAAACCAAATTAGTTACGGGATATCGAGTTCTTGAAAAGAATTCGGTAATATGTAAAAGATATTCAATCTTCCATATATTTTCTTTGTAAATTCTCAATCACTATCGGTATGCACAATTTTATAATAAGGTTCATGATACTTCAACCTAGAAAAATAATCCTTATATAATAAAGCAATTTCAAACATTAAATAAGTAGAATTCTACCTAATTAGACAATCTAAAGCCAATTTCTTTGTGATAGGAATGAGAAGGAAGTTAACAATATCCTTAAACTTTTCAAATTTTTTAGGAGTTGCTTGTCTAAAATGCTACCCTATCTCTAATTTGCTCATTCCCTTCCTTAATGACATCCAACCCATCTTTCACTATTAAATTGATGATATGAACACAACATCGTATATGTAATAAAGAATCATAATTTAACAAGTCCACAGATTTTAACTTATCCCTCACATACTCAATCATAGAATCATTGGTGGAAAAATTATCCAATGTAATAGTGGATAACTTTCCTTCAACATTCCAATCCATCAAATAATCAATTAAAGTAGTTGTAAAGACAATGCTTGTATATGGATAAAAAACATACATAAACCTAAAGCAAGATATAAATTAGTTATAAACTAAAAATATTGAACTAAAGCTATTAAACTAGGATCATTAAGTTAACAAGAAATGAAGAGTACCTCAATAGACTGACTTCGTAATAACCAAGAACTATCAAAGTAGTG